CCTTTCTGCCCTTGTATCTTGCACCCCTACTTGTATTTCCCATAATTTGCTTCTCTTTTTTTTTTCTTCTATATGGGCTAAGCTTCCCTCCTGACTAATTCTCATTGTGGATAACAGTGCCATCACATCAGTGCTTCACAGAGCTACATGTTAACAACAGTTCCATTGATTGATACTGAATTAGTAATGTTTCTTCTGCTTTAATAGAAAGCGGGCTACAAATGGATTTGCTGTAGATAGCACCACATAGGTTAAGATTTAGGACCATTTCGCATCTTTGGAGCAAACTTAAATCTTGAAATTAATCCAGATTTTTTCTTATTTATTCAGTTTTTGTTTGGCTTTGTCCCTTTTCCTTTTCCTTTTTCTTTTATGCACTGCAATTCTATGTCCTCTGAAAAGACGCTTTGTGGAAAGGCAGGTTTTTTGCCACACGTGACACCAAAAGAAACTACTGCACAGTGCAGAGGGGATTGTTGTGGACTAGTCAATGAACTGTGTAAGCAGCTGCAGTTTCTTTATCACCTTGTATTGATATAGTGACATACTGATGCGATGGAGGTTTAGAATCTTGCCTGTTGAATATCTCATACTTTGCTAAAACTACTTATCTCTCTGGGAGTTGGAGAGTGTTTATGCCTTGTGCAAAAAACTGCCAAAAATCTGATAGAACAGCCACAGTGAGATTAACAGTGCTTGTTTAGACCAGTTATAAAAACGCAGTGATAGTCTTCATGCTCATATTTTCCCAAGTGTACAGGATATGTACTTAAATGAAAACTTCAACTTTGGAGCAGAAGATGGCAGCATATAGAAGAAAATATGTTATTTCATGAACTGTTCCAGTTTTTAGCTGCTTTGGATGGCTTCCATAGAACATTATTAATAATAAACAGAAATCTTTTATATGATATAATTAGATGTTCCTGGAACCAGGGATGGGTAGAAAATGTCTTTCTAACCTGGTACTTTGCAAACTCACTTGTCAGACACAAAATTTACAAGCCTTGCTCCAGATTCCAGAAAAGATTTAATCGCTGTTAATCTCAGATGAGGGGAAGTGCTGCCTGCAGCCTGGAGTTAGCCTCCTACCTCCCTGAGAAACATTTCCTCTTGGCTTATTTAGGCAGATCCCTGTTGTAGCAGCCTAGCCTCAGTGTCGGGCAGAAGAAACCTGAGTGTCTCTGTGCACAATACAGGGAACTTGGCTGTGGATTCAGCAAGTGCCTGGGAGCAGGTGTTGCAGTGATAAACACAACTCATCTCTCTGGCTTTAGCACTAAAATTCTTCACTGTTTTACGCCCTTTAGGAGTGCAGCCCGTCTAAATGCTCCATGAGTGTATGCCCTGCCAATATTGTGCTACTCCTTGGATTGCATGAGGCTGTTTGAGCTGGGAGAAACCACAGCAAACCCTGCTGACCAGCTCCCTGTTCCAATGTGTCATTGTCACAGCTAAAGGGAATCTGTAAAGCAGCAACCAAGGGGCTCTCGGTTAACATGTTGCTGTGAGCAGCGATGTGGAAAAGGGTGCATTTTAGTGAGGAAGCTACCAGACCGCCTAAAGTTGCAATATTCTTATTCTTCCTTCCTCTGTCCTCCTTCCAGATTCATAAGCATTTTTGTACTTCATAGTAGGGAAAACCTATCCTTTGTGAATTTCTTCTCTTAAACATTTTGAAAGATCTCAAACTTAAAGTTTGGACAGATGTCTGCTTCTGCATCCCATTTTGCTAGGATAAGAGAACAATCTGTACTGGCACTTCCTAATTCACTTCAAACAAAATCCAATTAACTTGAATGTTTTAGGTAGGTCTGAGTTAATTTCACTGATACCCTTAAGCAAATTACATAAAGGTCTCATTTCACCTTGTATCAAAAACTTGTTGGCTCCCACTGTTGCCTAAAAGTATCACTAGTGTTTCAGTGCTTTTCGACTTGCAGCCACTCTGCACATTGAAGGAGCAGTAATGGAGATGAGGTCTTCTGAATGTTGTATCATATCTGAGTGCTGAGCACTTTTGAAAGCAAACCACTTATTAAAGGGGTTTAGATGTTTTCAATGACTTTTGCCTGCTGTTACAACTGGTACTGAAAACTCTGTAGGATACTTACCTGTGTTCTATCCATAATATAGATGTACGGTAAGAGGGCACCCTGGGAGGATCCCTCCAAGTGGGTAGCTGATACCTATCCATGGAGCTCTGCATCTCTACAGCATGAGTGGCCATCATTACTTCAGTTAAGACCAGAAGATGTTGGTTATGAAGGTTATGCATCAGCAAAGGAAGGAACAACCTCGAAGCACATTCCACAGACTGACGCAGAGGGTGATCCCTTGGTAAGATTTAAACTTCAGCAAAAAGGTTTTTCAGTATGTATTTCACCGTCACATGTTAAATGGTACACTGTACAAGGAAAAACTACTATGTACCTGTTGCAAAATGATCTTTTAAAATGAATCCTACTATAATTTCTTAATAAGGATGAAAATAAAAGTAAAATACAGCAGGAGGGCAGGTATTACCATCATGGTAATATGTCCCTAAATTGTTTGGGTTTCCCATCTGTCCGGAAATGTATCCAGTCTTCAACATTATAATGGTTGTGCACCACTCTTCAGCAATTTAGTAACGAGTTTATTCTAAAATCACCTTTCCAGGTTGGGCAGTCCTTCATCTACATTCTACAAATGAAGGACTGAGAAACTCTCGTTACCTAACTTGTCTATCGTGGAGAATTCAGTGGAAATGCAAATCAGACAGCCATCCTCCCATTCCTCAGAACATTTCAAGATAACTGATGACTGTATAACAGTCTCAATGTAAAAGGAATGCAAGTGTGGTGGCATTAAAAGATAAGAGGTTGATTTCCCTCAGTGCCATGTATTGTTTTATTCAAATATGATCCCAGACCTTTGGGTTTACCATTGCCTCCTCTGATAACAGACTATTAAATTGCATATATTAAACTGCTATTCTTGTATAGTGCTTTCTCTATAGACTGCCTTTATCACAATTCAATATACAATTTTAGAGAAGTGTACTTTTGGAACACAGGCAGCCCTTGGAAAAGGGAATTTCTCAGAGGAAAATGCGTTTAACTCTTATCAGTGCTAAGAAAATGACTCTTCAGCCTCGCTGAAGTGTTCAGTATCCAAAACCAGACATTACATCTTGAAGAAGTGTAGAAAATCACCTCATTTGAGCCCCTATCTCCCAGTCCGTTAGCTTTGGGGTGGTTGTTCAACCCTGTGACTTGGATGGCCAGTGAGTGTATTGGCCAGGCTGCCAGCATGTATGCATCACCTCCAATTAAGGTGAAAATACTTGGAATCATATACTCATAGAATGGTTTGGGTTGGAAGGGACCTTAAAGATCACCTAGTTCCAACACCCCCTGCCATGGTCAGTGACTTAGGCAGCTCGAGTTCAGTGTCCTGTCCTCCTTGCTCCCTGCACACTGTGATCAGTATCTGTATCTGACTAAATATCAGAAGCTTGAAACTTGTGAAAGGAGGGCTTGCCCCTGCCTCCAGTGGTGCTCACAGGGAGACAGACACCCAGCTTGTAGAAACAGTGCATTTCATGTGCAGGCTGCACTGCACACCCTCCACACGTATCCTGTATTCTCAAACATGGATACCTATTAGACCTGCAGCAAAATCTACCTGATAGCCCTGAAGAGTATTAAATCCTGTCCAACGCCTAGAGAAAACTTTACAAGCTGTGCAGGTTGAAACCACAGAGATGTGAGGATTCCTGAGCAAGCCGGAAAAAGGAGCTTAACACACACACACCT